TTTAAAATAGGGCCCGCGGCAAGGCACTTCAAAGCGAATAAACTGGCGAACTAACGGGGCCTGCCAGCAGGCGCTGCTTCGGCTCGAAGAGGACAAGAGACTGTCGGAACTGGTGGGTCTGGCTCTGGCTTGGACCTGATCCCGATTGGCTCAGTGTGGTATCGTCGTCGCCCTGTTTTGGGCCCATCGGATTTGGAGAAGATCTCTTTTCTTGAGGCAAGCCTTCCGTCTTGCTTCTCGATGCTTTCGCCTTTTCTTCGTCAGTAGCTCAACTTTACAGGGCGTTCTAGCACGCACCTTGCTCTCAATTCCACTGATCTCAGGCCAAAGACGAATCCAGCACGCGGAACCTGATAGGTTCGGTTTTTCTTTGTCCCATTCAGTTTCCCAGCTTCCTGGTTGCGTCAGTTTCCCGTTCATCGCCTCGCACAACCACGAACGCCGCCGCCTTCATCACTGGTGCATGTGCTGCGTTGTTCTGCTGCGCCTCTCAGCACTGCTTACGTTCGCCGCCTTGTCGCTCGCTATCGGCGCTATGAATGAAAATGAACAAGCCGCACTTGACAGCGCGAAGTTCGTCCCTTTCCGGCCGCTCTCGTGTAAAAGCCATCGGCAGGAAAGCGGTCGGGAAACGGGGACGAAAAGGGTAGTAAGGGACAAAGGAGAGCAGACAGCCTTGCTTGTGCTAAGAACCAGCCAGACTGTGCGCTGTGCTCTGTGTGAGAGTCGTGCTGTGCAAAAAAGAGACCGCGGAACCGAGAGAAAAGCAGAAGCGGAAGCGAAGAAAACCGACGAACGTGGATTTTCGTTTCGATCCCAGGCCTCGCGATGTCCTTTCGGGCCTCGGTGCCCCTTGCTATTTATGGAAAGAAGCCTAGTTGCTCCCGCTGCTGCTACAAGGTCTTCAAGACTAAGACAACGATCCGTACGAACGAGTTACTGCGGCGTCGATGCGAGCGAAAGAGGCAGTAGCTTCAAACGCTGAGCTTCCATCAGTGATCCTTCGTACCGTGGAATCCCGGTAAAGTGGCGTACTGCTGCCTCTGCGCTTGGGCCTGCTATTATAAGCTGCTTGCTAAAAAACGGTGCATGTTAGTGTATGTGCGTGTTTTCATATACGCCGACAATGGTGTAGGTCAAGCTGGGGTGTTGGCCGCCGCTTCACTTTGAAAACTGACGTTAAAGTGCATAAAATTAAACGGAACAAGCATGGTATCGTGCAATTGTAAACACTGTAGAACCCGCTAAAGAATTTCGATAAGAATATCGCCGTGGTCTCCAATTGCTAGCTGGTCGATCATCTAGGCTATGAGCGAGCCCAGATGGCACAGTTCAACCGCCGCAAGTAGTAGGCCGCCCATATCGGTGACCACACTTAAACTCTTCAATTAGTGATACCGAAGTGGGCGGATATCATTGGAGGGTTTGGAATGAGACAATTTCTTGAATTGGTTGAAATCAGTTGCGGACTGCTACTGCATAATCGTATCGCTACTTCACTTCGAGCTAAAACTTCTCGAGTGAGATGACAAGATTTCGATATACTTGAAAGCGTTTAGTTTTTACCGTCTATCTTCGGTTGAATCTAGCAAAACAGCTTCTATTGACTGATTGGATGTGTCTTCAAGGGAACCTTTTTTAACCACATGAAAATGCAAAATGAAAAAAGAACGAAAAAGGAAAAACACATATAGTCCTTTGAGTGAAGTTCACATGCAAGATTACATATATATAATTTCGACATGCCCTCGTTGTGCTTGCATGCTCAGCAGTTACGTAGCTTCCAAATACCCATCAAGAAGCATCCTTCTGCTTACTAGCTAGCACATGCGCCAACCCGCTTATATGGTTACAAGCAAAAGGTTTCTATGAGCCGTTCGCTACGGTTCTTCTACACTTAGCTTGATAGCCGAACAGACGAAGAATGAGATCGTCGATCTCGTCGCCAACGGCTTGGGGCCAAGCTGCTATCATTTTATAGCCGTCATTTCGGCGAAACTTAATTAGATCTCCGTGAAACTAACAGGGAGCACCAAGATTTGTCCACACCGCCTTTGAGGACGGTAACGGGGTGCCAATGGCCCCGCTAATTTCGATTGACCGAAGATACAAACGAGGTAAACGCCCAGTCGCTTTGCTTGCATAGATGAAGGTGGGCATAAAAGGCGCCAGCGATTCTTACGTTTCCCTTGGTTTTAACATACGATGAAAGACGTTGTAGGAAAATTGTCCTTCTAGCGGGGATGGTGCAACCTGATCTGTCACTTTGCTCTTTGTGTCCAGTTTATCGTTAAGGTCCGCGTATATACGCCATCTATCTAGCTGGGTTTCTTTGAGTAGTAATATGAATGCACACTAGGGATGTCGTTAGTATTGTTGTCGGGATGTTGCTCGTATTATGCCGAGGTTCACTCTTCTTACGTATCACAGTGTTATAACAACAGATAACACGTTGACCATGACGTTCTCAATTCCGCTATTCATATAATAATAATAAATTACGTTGTACTACATATCTATAGCAGTAACGCTGCATCGCTTGTCATAAATGTTCGTCAGATGTTCATCATTGTCATTTCATAATTCTGACTCTCGATATATTACGGTTACTATTACTTATTACTTGTTGGCTTCCATGGGATGAGATCCAAGTAAGGGATCAGGCGAGAGAAAACTATCCACAACACTCTGGTAATCTAAAACAAGTACAAGCAAGCTATGCTCTCACAGATGTTCTTCGTTTTCTGTTGAGTTCGTCTCGTTCCGCGCCGTGGCGCCGTGTTAGTGTCATCGTTTTCACTGTTTGCGAGACCCGTTCGCCGGCATTGTCGACTTCCCCGATTCCCGACTACAGCTGCCCATTCGCCTCTTTTGACGCAATGCAATTAGGTTTACTGCAGCCTATGCTATGTCGCTGCTGCTAGCGGCAGAGACGCCAGCAAGAGCCTTTGCGAGAGGCCAATGACGATGGAGGCAGAAACTGACGTCGAAGGCAACGCCGCGTCTGGGACAGTGGTCGGAAGACGAAACGGCAATATACAGGGCAAAGGGGGGACAAAGGCAGCAGCGCTGATGCAAAGACCGCCCAACCTGAGTTTCGCTGTCTGTCAAGCGGACAGAGTAAACCCAGGCGGGGCACTTTTGGTTACGGGCTTTGAGGACCTAGGGGGCTTCGCCTGCGCAGACACGGAGCCCGAGAGTCGAAGCAGAGGGGACTAACTGCGAAAAGAAGCAGCGGCGGCGAAAATGGTAGCAGCGGCAAGCTGAGATGTTGTTATTTCAAAATCGGATCATGTCATCTTCCTGAACCTCTTTCTCTCATTCGCTTCTTCCGCAGTCGCTCCTCTCGTACGGCAGCAGTAGTTGTGGCAGCTATGGAGCACCACTGAAGGCTGATGTTCTATAATACAGCTGTGCCGTTACTGCTGGAAGCAGCTCAACCCGGGAGAGCCGTCCGTCACTACATTCTCGCCGCCTGTCCATCAGGCAGTAGCAGAAAGAGCAAGCTCCTTGCCGGTGTCATGACTGTATTCGAGCGAAGGTTTCCGTTTCCTTCCTATCCAGCCTGGTCTCATACTGCTTTTTTCCTACCCCTGATCTTCCGTCGGCCTTCATGAGCAGCGGTGCTGGCGGCGGTTGTTCGGATCCTCTGGTGAAGCCTGCTTCTTTTTTCTCTTCACTTCAACCTCACGCACCCACTTCTCGTCGTTTGCCCATCTTTTTCTGCCAGCAAGCTTGCTGGCTCTATTCAGGATTTCTCTTTGCACCAATGCTCTTGGTGCTTCTCGTCTGGCGTAGGGCCGGGCTATAACGCTGGTGGGTCTGATAGCTGACTTCGTATCGCGTCCTGTACGGCGCCGCAAAGCTTGCCTTGTTTCTTCCTGGCACTTCTCCGTCTACCCGCGATATTGTGTCCCTCGTAGCTCTTGCAAACCCACTTTGCCCCACGCCCTACATCCCCTCCTCCTTTTTCTCAACATCGTCGGAACACGACACAACCTTGTGTATCAGCAGCAGCAGCAGCAGCAGAGTCATAATCCTCTTTGGATTGATACAACTCAGACTCCTCTTCTTCGGTTCTTGTCATCTCAAAACGTTGCTCATCTCAAGCTTGCCCCATTGCGATTCGCCCTTCTCTTCAGCCACACATCGGACTTGCTGCTCCTGCCTCCAAAGCCGGCATCACCGGCGTTGTTGGCGCTTTTACTTGCTGTACTGCTGTGTTCGAGTTGCGATGGGGTTCAAATGGGCAAGCTGCCACCCCCGCTTCTGTAGCAGGTTAACATCGGTTGAAACATCACATACAGATTTGACGATACACGCCATGTTGGCATGTTTATTAATGTTTCGAGATCACTGCGAGCGTTGTTGTTTTCGTTGTCGATGTTTTTATTCGGCAGTTTTGACTTGTTCGAAAGTTAGGGGACTGAGCGTGTTTATCTATAAATGTTTGTGTGTCTTAAAACGAAGGTATGGTTTGGGAGAAGTGTATGTATATATATTCCAGTAAGCGTACTCCAGGGGTAACTAAACAATTAAAGAGCTAATTACAAAGCAGTGATATTAGCAGAATTATTTCTTATCTTAATATGAATGTAACTGCAGCAAGAAGCGTGTTTGCTTTAGCGACCTTCATTGTTTCATATAACCATGGTATGGTATCCAAGAGCATATTCACCCACTTACCGTTATTTACCATAGTGTTGGCCATAATAAAGTGGCAAATAAACAACACCAACGAAATTGTTGTTTCGACAGCGGACATATAAGTCCAACTTTCGTTGTGGATCATCCAGTTGAAATCTGTTTTAGCTGCTTCGCTGTTTTCAGCGACAAGCGTGAAAACTAAAGAAATAGGTTAGTAGCTTTTCTTTTGCAGCGCAAGCACCGTCTTCTTTAGCAAAGATGAAACTGCGGGAACATAATCGAATCATACTCATTAGCACAACTTTAGCGTAGAGGGCCTGAATCCTAGCGTACCGTCTTCACTATCGTCGCAGCTTCTGTCGAGCGGACCGACAAGAAGCAAGAAGAACTAGATGGAGAAGGGGACAAAGATTCGAGCGGCAGTTCTCCGAGTTCGTCAAGACGCCCGCTGACTAGACAAGCCGCTCATTGTCTGGGTGAGTGCGGTGCCTGGCCGGTCACACGGCGACTACGCCACCGCTTTCTCGTTAATACCTCAAGCATGAGCGCAGTACTAACTTGAGACCTGCCTTACTCTAAAGACCGTTACCGTTCGCTTTGTAGCGGCAGCCAAGACTTCGACCATGCGAGCAATTTGTTCAATGTTGATGATAGCCCTATTACCAACATCTATATTAAGATGCTTATAAAGAAACTGACTGGTGTTAGCAAGGAGCAGGGCTCAAACCCAAATACAATAGCCCACTTCGGAAGTTCCTACACTTACCAACCTTTAAACAGCAGGCATGTAACGAAAGCAAAAGCGGTAATATTAGTAAGAACCGGTTATGTAATAGGCAAACTTTCGTTTTTCATTTGTGGAGGCCGTCTAAAAATCTCCTGACGTGCATTCAAAAAACATTACATCTGCATGGACGCTGAAATTTTCCTGCCTAGGCTAGCATCATGCACCCAGTTCAGAATGCCTAACTTGTACTTGCAATGTAAGTAGCGTGCATACAGGAGCGTGCAGTAAAGATGTGCCGTCTGCCTATAAGAAACACTGATTAGTTCACAGGACACGCCGATCTGTGGGACCTACGGAGCTTTGGAACAGTCTTTTTGTATCGTGCGCTCCTCAACCAAACAATACAGGTATATGGTTTTACTGGCGGTATTATAGGCTTCGTCATAGTATTCTTCGCTGTCCAAACCCATCTTCTAATAAGAAAGACGACGCAGCCGAATGAAGACATGTAGAAAGAGAAAGGGAAAAATCCCACAAAAGAGCTGTTCGCCATGACTAACGAACGGACCAAAACAAGCCCTAGTAGGCCACACCCGTCCTATAGCTATCTGCCATACAGGAGAGAACCCTAGTCCACCTTCTTGTAGAGGGTTTACAATGACGAGACAGCCAAGGCTGGTCCAACACACTGAAAAAACGAGCTGTTGAGCGAAGAGAAAAAGTAAGATAGAGCGCATACTTGCGCGTCTATAATAATAATCTCGAAATAAGTGATAACAGCGGAGACCGATAGGCCAAGAAAGGAGCGGACAAGTCCCTAACCCCCAAAGGCGTCCAGGTAATGATAGGTGGCGCGTCGTTATTGGACGAGAAATGGCGGCTAGAAGTTGTACCTCTGCCGGTTTCAGGGGTGTCTGGGCGACGTCAAAAAGACCCTGGCAAACAGGGCGACACCAACCAGGCAAGGCGATGGATGGCAAAGGCGGTGGGCATGGCCCAAAGCCCCAACACCGTACAGTCCGTTGCGTAAATTACATTATGCCACTGGTAGCAGAAGCAGCAGTAGCAGCAAATTCTATGCAAGGGACACTGAGAAGACGCTTGTAAACTAGACTTACTGTCGGCTGCCTAACATATTAATCGTTACTTACAGAGCGAGTTACAAATTTAAGGTGCATGTGGGTATATATGCATTTAATACTAATCTGTATTATAGTTAACAACAGTTATATAAAAATAATTAGGTTTCTTAGAATACATGGTGCGCCGCCCGAACTAAAACAACAAATGGAAGGTTCTGCCAACGAATATGTTTGGTTACAGTAACTTTCAATAATATAACTTTATCTAGTATAACTGTTATGCGATAATTATCAATACACGGTGAGCGCCACTACTTTACCGCTGCAAAAATCTCAAGTATGAAACCGATATCGTTTGGGGATTTATGAATGTTAGCTGAACTACTAGTGGGTTCCGTTATCTTCGAAATGATCAAATAATGCGATTGTTATATGAATATAGGTAACAGGGAATAACTCTACTTATTATAAGCCATGTCATAAAAAGCAACAACTAGTATTTTAATCCACATACACTTTAATTACACATCCGTTGAATACAGTTTCAGCACTCACTGAGTGTAAGGCGTCACAAGAAGTCTGGTTCTAACGCTAAGATTTCTGCGTATCTGTGCTCGATTCAATCACAATAACGAGGAACTTCATAACAGCTGGCACAGTGTTCAGGCCGTATTTACGATAGATATCCTAGCAAAGTAAGATAATCGATGGATAAATAGTATACATATTGACGTCTTCGAATCAGCTGAGCCTCTGCCAGCTTCGGTCCATCACTTTGTGACCAGTAAAAAGAGCAATAGAGAATTTCTGCAGTCCGTTTTGCCTACGAAGGTATAAGTGGTATGAGAAGGGTCGTGATCAACAAGTGGCATCGATAGCTTCGATCGGAAATTACTCATATAGAGAACCAGTAACGTTCGAGTTTCCTCGTCAAATTAAATACACTTACCAGCAGCAGGGCTGGCTACTCTCTAGTGGTTTTTGCAGACGTAGAATGACCTATAGGGTGTGGCAATCACTGACTTGCCTGACCGCCGCCTCGGTCGAAACGATACAACATTCCGGAAAACCTGTCGATTCATCTTTTGCCCCGCGCATGAATTGTGCTAGCAATATTGCGCAAGACTTCGATACATGGTCTACGATATTATCGGGCCCTTATACACACGTTACTGTTAACGGCAGCAGTAACACAGTGTCGCCTTACTACGAGAACTAGGAGATGAAATTAGGCCGAAAATTACCTTTTCTGAGAATAGCCTGTACGACGCAGAAAGAGACGCATCTAAACTTTCAGCTAGTAAGATAATTGGGTCACACTGCAGTATTCTCTCCCTTGCAAAGCGAAAAAACAATTCTCGGCAGAAGATAAGCAGATCATCAGGCAGGCGAACAGCGAAAAGTAGGTAAGATGATGACGTTGTTACGTTTCCGCGAATAAATCAGCTGATGTTGATCGAACTAGAACATACACGCCTATAGACTAAAGAGCACCCGGAATTTGCTAAATCGTATGCTTGAATTATTCATACTTGTTACTAGTACTATCCTTAATCTAATATACATATATACATATGAGACTTTAGTCCTATTCCTTACATTATGACAACAAGGTTACTTCCTGGCGTTGGCCCTTACCAACGCAAAAAAATCTGCAGGTTAACGTGACGAAGCTCAACTTCCATTTTGGCCAAATTACTTGTCGACCAGGTGGTAGCTATTTTCGACTATGTTATCGCTTACTTACTTGCAATGTGTAGCCCGATTATTATATTATATTAGCCCATATATTATGATATTATATTAGCTCAGTTTAAGCAAACACGTCATCTGAAGCAACGTCTTCGATTGCGTCGCCGCCGAGCATAGTACCTGCTTCCCTTATCCCAATAACCATCCCTTACGTCAAGTTCTGTTGGCCGACCGACCAAGCGGCGAACTTTATCGAGCTAGCCGAGGCCTGTGTCCTGGCGATAGTCTAGGACTTTACCTAAGCTTAAAAAACTCTCTCTTCTTTGTTCTCTTTTGTTCGTTTCCCCCCGTCGAAATGCCCGCCAACGATTACGGCCACGACGCGTCGAAAAAGAATGGCCATCAGGGCATTTTATGCAATTTTCTTCTATTGTACCCCTACTGGCAAAATCCCACAAATATCTGGCCCTGTCTCTCTAGTCAACTTCGCCACGTTCCCGAGAGAAAATAAAGGTTTCTACTATATATATATATATATATATATATATATATATATATACTACTTCTGGGTCCACCAACTTGCAAAGGCTGCCTGCCGTTGCCTGCGTCAACCCATACGCAAAAGCACGGACACCTTATTTTCCCTAGAAGCCCTTGCGCAACATCTGTTTAACGAAAAAAGGGGCGCGGAAGCTTGGTCAGAGCAGGTACCTAGTGTATACTCCGTCTGACCCAATGTCGACGTGTCTACGCGCCGAGTCGAAACCGCCGTGGATTGAGGCTTGTGACGCGGCTCGCGTGAGGAACGGCCATTTATCGGACATGAAAAACTTCTCTGATCGAGGTTGGCACTATCTCTTTCTCCCCAAATCTTTCTCTCTTCTCCGAGAATTCCTGCCTTGTTCCCACCAAGCGGACTTCGCCGCTCCTGCTTTCGTTTGGTTTATAGCGGCTTACGATCCACCAAGCAGGGAAATAAACAACAGCCGATGGCGGTTCTCTTTTTACTTATTCTCTCACGGGTGTCCGAATGGAGGCTGCGTTTGGAAAACGAGACCGACTGGATAGCGGTCGATACGTTAGTTGACCAGGGAAGAGGGTAGGGGTTAACACACGCTGGGATTACACCAGAGCGAATCTTTTCATTTGCACGGCACAACAAGGATGTTTTTTGCTGTTGCTAGGGCCGCTCACGCCGCTGCCGCAAGCGCAGTGTAATCCCCTTATCTTTTCTTCTTCTTAAGTTGGGTGTTGTTTCGGTCCGCTGGCGCTTGTACGTTGCTCACTGCCGGCAAGCCAACAAAGGCCGGAGCAGCCTTAGCCTAAATCGCTTTCGTCAGACATCTATGCATAGGACAACCCTGCGATCGTAATAGCAGACGCGAAGAGGGACTAGCCGCGGAATGGGGCAGGCAGCGGTAACGCGACCGCCGACCACCGTAGCTCGTTTACATTTTCCAGCAAATATGCTTCCTAACGGATTCCGAAAATCGCATGAAATCTTGCTTACTCTGTACGCATGTTTGGCCGGCTGTATGGCAACGGCGACTAAGTAGGAGGAAGTCGAGGTGGGGCATGTAGGCAAGATCGATCCATTCATGGAGATCAACGTTGCTACACACCGACAAAACCCCTACCAGTGCACTGCATTCGTGCAGGCCATAGATGCTTCGCCTTGTACCAAATAAGTAAAAACGCATGTGTTTAAATATCGTTCGGGACAGTAAAGAAACTGAATAGATGTATTAGTCAGAAATGTACCTCGGTAATGCTACACTATCAACATGTTTTCCTCTAAACCGAATGTGAGGTAGGGCCTAGGCTCAAGAGCGAGCATAGGCACACGATTTGTTTTGTGCTAGAAAAAACTAGATCCACACATACACTCGCTTAAATTCTCAGGATGTGTGTAAGAATGAGAACATACAGTCAGGATAAATGTAGAAAATAAAGCGATATGCATACATTTTCCTTATGGAGGCAATTGTGCAGGCGTTAACTATGTAATTTTTTCTTATTGCAGTGTTGAAAATGCCGATCGAGGTGAGCGTAACGGACAGCATCGCCAACCTAGGCGGCACCGCTATCCTTCGCTGCCTCATACACCCGCCGGCGATGCGGCAGATGGCCAACATAACGGGCTGGTCGACCGATGACGATATGACGATCGTTCCATCAAACGCCAAATGTATGTACTCACTTTTAAAATATAGGTACTTGTAAATACATATACTCGCCACATATTGGACCATCGTCTCTTGGCAAGTTCGCAAAGCGACTATTGTTATTAACATAATACACTACAATACACAGAACGGGCAGCGCATAAACTTGTCCGTCGTACTACAGGGTAAAAAGGCTTCTAAAGGTTTAAAGTTTTCGCAAGACAATGTTTATGTTGCTTCGCCATTGTGCCGTTACAACAATCCCACCTGCGTCATGAAACACACATAACTATACTCGATGAACCGGTTGGATTGTAGCTACGGATGACTGGAATGTTGATGGGCGCGGGCGACAATTCACAGCAGTGCTAAAGGCTAGGAGGAGAGCCGTTTTCGCTTATCGATCTTTAAACACAACAACTGCTAACGTTGACGAAGTTAGAGGCTGCAATAGGTTTCCCAATGAGTCACCTTTTTCAGCTCGTCGTCTACAGCTCGTGCAAGTACTTCAGGCGAGTTACCAGCTCAATGCATAGTCTAGTCTACGTGAAGTTCCACAGGCGTAACGCCACTATTCACGTTCGGTCTGACTGCCTCTCCTCAATCCTGATTAGCTAGCCAACATAAACAGCTATTATATAAACAGACGATTTATGGTGCGCTTATAACGCGATACGGAATACAATTGAACGAGGGTATTATATGAACAGATGCAGATACAGGTGCTTTGTTTCCCTAAGTAAGTACATCACGGACCGAATGCTTTGACGTGATATTGGTGAGAATCTGACTATAAACCCGTCGTTTGATTAAAGGCCTTGTAAACTTGGAAATATAGCCATATAAAGCAGTTTAATTTTCTTTTTATTCAGTAATCTATTTTCTGTGAATCTCTTTATTAACTTCTTCGCACTGTTTGACACAGGGTCTGCATTATATTATATTATACGCACAGAAAAGCCTTCTGAAATTTCTTAGGGAGACACTAATGGTACAGACCGACAATTCTCCATAGAGTCTACATTTTACAGGCTCACAAATTCGCCGGAATAACTCAAAAACCAGTTTTTAATACACCTAGGTTTTTTTTATACAGGAAGTAGTGGACAAACTGGCAACGAGGCCGTCCAGATAGAATTAGTTGGTTGAGACCATTTTCCATCTTTTAAGTTTTTTGGCCGTTTTGAGCCTTCACATTTTTTAAGCTCTTGACCCGCTACCAGCTTAAAATTTGATTCAGTTGATTTTTTTTTTATATATTACACTCGAACGACACTTTAGTACGCTTATGCCTGCTAAAATGTTCATTGCAGATTAAAAAAAATATATTAAAATAACTAGTGAGTTGTTTGTGTCCTGATTCGAAGCCACAATCGCAGCGGATAGTGGTGATATTGCATGAACATGATTGCCAAAAATAAGATTTGTAGCTTATGCGGAAAATTTGTTGCAAAGTCGTTTTTTTAAATAGGACTTCACGAACGAAGTATATGAAAAATTTTCAATTTGACCACTTATTCAATATGACCAATATATTGCATATATAGATGTAAATAAAGCCACTTTCTGACCAATTACTCGATCCATCATTGATCTTCTAACACCAATTTTTTCTCATGTCCTTTGTTTTGTCGGGTCCTCGTCGGCCTCTAATGACCATCGTTCGCTGTACGCTTCAACACTTGACTGGATATCGGGCCCAATTCTGTCGCTCAAAAATAACTCTACTTACCACTTTATGCATGCAGCATTCAGTACGCCCCGCTACCAGGCGTTCCTCAATGGGTTGCTGCTTATTTCGGGCGTAACGAGAGCGGACGAACGTCGCCGGTTCCGCTGCGTTGTGGAGAACTCGATCACTGGCGAGAAGATGGAGTCTCAGGCCTGGGGCAAAGTGATTGTCACTGGTGAGTCATCGTTCTATGCACAAACACCCCTTACTGACTCATCATCACCATTAACACAGCACATTCTCGAAATATTGTCATCAGTAGTAGAAATGACCACATCAGTGGCCGTTATAGCGGCTTCAGGGGCAAGCCAAACGGTTGAACATGTGTTCAGCGTCTCGCATTCACATGAGCTTCGTTCTATTAGGGCGGCAACTAATTGATCTGATGCTCTTTATTCAATTCCAGTAAGCTGGTTGACTAGCAAGTCGTTATTACATTAGAGATTCAGCACGCGATACCTAACACAGCTTTAGAGCTTCCAGCTACTTGCTCTGTTGACGTTTAACGGTGACGACCATTACATGCTTAGGGGCACCAACGACGTTGAACGAAATGAACGCCTCGTCGACCTTACCTAGAGCAATCAAAAAAGAAAGAAGCAAAAAGAAGAAAATTTGCGGGATGGTCACCCTTCTCTTTTCGCCTGGTTCCACTGGCCTGGCCAACGGCCTGGGAAGTATGAGTTGTAGATGCGGCGGAAGAGTAGATTACTATACTTAAAAGTGGGTTAGCATAGGTAGTCTGTTTAGCAGAGAAAGGAAGTAAACGCGAAATACATTATTCTATGTGAGTTGCACAACAGGCTCCTGAGGACCTCGTGGTTAGTCGACGCCGTTGGAAGTTCGGCACTGTCTAACTTCTATGTGAGTTGCATAACTAGCTCGTAAAGACCTCGTAGTTAGTCGTCGCGAATGGAAATCCGACATAGTCTGACGCGATCGACCAATGGTCGTTTTTGGGTTAATAGTGATGCGGGGCGTTCTGAAAGCGTACTAAAGGTGTGCGTCTCCTATTATGGGGAAACGTATACCGTATCTGCTCTGAGCTCCTGCGGACTGAGGGATTTTTCACCGTACTTTTAAGTGCGTTATATAATTGACAATTTCATGAATATATAGCCCATTAGAATCACACACTCGTTTATCTGAATGTTATTATGGTTGGTGACTACTGATATTCTGTGTCAAGCAACGAATAGTAATAATAATAATAATCACTACGAATGCAAGTTTATTATTACCTGTTCTACTCGGCAGTATACCTAAAAATATAAAAAAATAATTATATAAGGCAAAGTTTGAATTTATAGTAAAAGCCATTAGGAAAATTTATGTTAGCGTCATTCTACGTTTGTAATTTATGCTGCTTGTAAATAATGTACTGCTTGATCGACATTACAGCGGCGTACATAAACATTATACCGGCGATATTAGCGATTCTACAAACGTGGTCTTCATTTTAATTTTCTATTTGTAGCATACAACCTTGTAGAAAGAGTGTGTTGAGCTGTTCGAGCTACGTAAGCTTCTTCTTGCGGTACAGTTGTTTTACGTGGAACTTTGTCTTGACAGTTACCGTCGCCTCGATAGATCGCAAAGCACCGAGAGAAGGACCTGACAGAGAACGCGCTTTAGCCTTAGCCGAGCGATCCTACGAAGCGCTTAGAACGAAAAAGCATGGAAGAGGAAGTAGGTTAAACCTGAGGTTCAAGCCGCCATTTCATCGACCGACGGACCGACCGGCTGACAGGTCGCAGCTCGCCAGCTGCTGAAGTCATCTGGCGAACTGCGGAAAAGGAAGGCCGCAAGACCAAGAGAAAGACTAGGGCTATTGGAACTCGACGCTAGCAAGGGATCAGAGCCTACCCGTCCTAAGATTCATTCGACAGCGCCACCAGCCGCGGGCTGAAAGTAGTTTGGTGGCAACGGTGGCGCCAGAAGGTAGCGCTAGTGTTAGCTACATAAAACGCCTGGCCTGTGGGCCTATCTGTGTGAGTAGCGGCCCTGGTCTGCTTGCAGGCTCCCCTGCTCTCCGGTGAAATCGCTGTGCGTTGTACACACTCCATTTCGAGATGAAATCGAGTGCTACAAGGCGCAGTGGATGGTCCGTGGTAATGTCGGCAATAGCAATGAGCGTCGAAAGCTCAGAGCCGAAGCGAATGGCATCTTTGGAAACGTCACTGTGCAAAGACACGTACGTTGGTCTGTTTTCCCTGACTGTCGCTATCGTCGTCAACTTCGCCATAGAAAGCGGACGACTTCATTGATATAAAGGTAGTTGATTTGGCTTAGTCTGGAACTGGCGTTCATCGTCGAGCAGCGTTTTTCTTAGCCTCGGAAATCCACCAGAAGGGATAGGGTTTCGATGAAATGCAGGACCGGAAACAGCAACAATTATAGCAGTAGTTGTCACGTCTGAACGCCTGCCTGTTTACCTTCAGCTGGGCGACCCCAGCTACCATAGCCAGGGCGAGCCCCCCTTCATGACCTGTGTTGCTAACTGTCTACCGACGGAATCGACCTGCTGCAATAAGAGCTTATAAAACCGTGAAAAAAAGTAGCAACTTCCCAGTTGAGGCTGGTTGCTTGTCAGCTCTGAGCCAGTTGTAAAATTTCGCAGGCTTAAAGCTCGTACTATTCGACGGAATTGACTAAATCGTCAAAAAATCGGAGAACGGCCATTGACAACGATTACCAAATAACAGTGAGCGTCCTTCAAGGCACAAAGAGTTGGTTTTATTGAAGTACGTCCAAGAAAATTCTCGCCATGTTTTAGAAGAATAACAACATGATTTTGGTGCATCCAAATCCAAATTGAGTTTGAATATAGCCTAGCAGTGACCAGCTTGCTCACCTCGGCCGATGTATTGAATAGCTGTTAAGTACCGATGAAGCTTTTAACACAAGCTGAGTTCTATTGCACAGAAAATCAGTCCGTTTTTTGATATGCTAAACCAACATATTAAGAACGTCCAACCATTATTGTATATGTATATATTCTGCATATCTTTTTTTCCGTAACATTCGTAACACTTCGCACCAGCCTTTGCTACAAAAATCCACTACATACCTTGAATAGTAGATGTATTTGATGATGGACAAATCGTTTAAATCGTTGAATGAAGAATCCGAGATGATCGTTTTCCGCCCCGTTGACTCTATGGTCCTGATTGGGCTAGGTAGGACCTCCTTGATCATTTTTCAGCTTTTCAAGTCGCGCAGTTACGACTTCCTATCTCTAACTTTTGAGTTCGAAGTCGCTGACTGCCATCTTGGACCCAATCATCCCCCGGGATAGTGCAAGGATAATACACCCCCACCACCATTCCTCTTTCCGCTTTTGCATTATTGCAAGCTGGTTGACAAACGCCTTTCGTTTTCGCATCTTCAACTTAAAATCTGTCTTATCGTAGCTCGAAGCGGAGCAAAGAGGGGCAAAAAGTAAAAGGAGATAGGCCCAATCGTTCTCTAACGGCTTTCTTGTCAATACGCCAAAAGGGCGAAATCCTAATGAAACTAAGCTGCTTCGGGTAGAGTACAAAGGCATTTTCCTTGTTAAAGATGATTGGAAGTTGAAACAAGGTGTGTTCTGTGCCTTTATAGAAGTTGTGATTGTGCTGGTATCGGCCATACGGCAACAGTTAACTAGACCGCCCGCTTAGCTTGACTAGCTTACATGAGCTTTCATGGAACAAAGTCTTTGGAATATATACGTCCTATTATGTCCAGACATTCTTAAAGCTCTTAAAAGCGCCGATGTTATATCATTGAAGCATGTGATGTTTCTGTTCATACATACTATTAAGGGTAACTAATGAACCATTCGCTGGTAATTTTCTGGCTGAGTATTTTTCGGCTTCTGTAACCGATGACGTAAAACATGAGAGCTTACATCAAACGTGTACTAATTCCTCGTTTTGTTAATCCTTTACTTAGTGCTGCCTCGTTAGAGCGTCAGTAATACCAATATTAGTGCAACGAGCTGAGTCAAACAGCTACGGAACGGAAAGAGCAATTGACGAATGAAGGAAGGCTCTATAAGTTTTTACAGTTGCCGGCGATCTTGGGACAGTTTTTTCACACTAAATTGTTTAAACATTTACCGACGATTATCTGCAACGATTCAGCACATGTAAACAGAACATCAATAGCATTTTTTTTTTGTAGGAATATCTTTTTTCAAGATTAAATTCATAAAGCCTGTAAATCTCGCCTTACTTATGCTTACCTATGTACTAGGTGAACGGTCGATATTATATGTCTAGGTTCTTATATTATATGCCTATCATATAAAGTCCAATGCAAGGTTTACCGCACAGCTGCAGCTCTGTGGTACCCTTTTTCTCTGAGAGATACGTACGGCAAATCTAGTAATTAAATGTCGATTTTCTTCACAAGAATATTTACGACTTCCTTCGATTATTGTTGAGGCTACGGAAACTAAAGATCAATATTTTCCATTTACTTTTTCTGATCGATGAATCATTTATTTGCTTCTGTCTGCCAAAGTTCGAAAATCTTGCGCAAATCCTTGATAGACAGCGACCTCTCTGTCAAAAGTTAATTGAGATTATTAGATTTTGTCCTGCGAACCCCCAGAAAATTCCTCTTGACAAAGTGACGCTAAAATAAGCGATACATTTATTGACCTTCAACACTCAGAACATAAATTCAACATAAACTAAAATTCCAGTAAAACGCTCTAACTTGTTTTTTTTCGCCGGCCCAACATCGTTTCATGTCCCAGACGCGTTAAGGTATAGACAAGCTGTGCTTGTTCAACTCCCAAGTACTTTTTGTTTAACAGTTAATCGAGGTGGAAGTAGTTTTCTAAACTATCGAGAGCTGTCATATCACACGAATTGTAGAAACTGCAAATAAGACACGTGAGCTATTGGACGCGCCGCCGTCAGCTTCCGTAAGCTCTAGCCCGTTCTTGATCTGTAGCACGCTAAATGAACAGATGAACTGCGTACCAGTGTAGCCGTTGTTGTGGACAAGGGTGCTCCGCTTTTTCTGCATAGGAGCTGTCTGATCTATCTTGCTGTCCGTTACCAAATGCTTGCACCCGACCTGATTGCCATTGTGGCTAGATGCAGGTAGACATTGCTGTTTACAAAATCATAATATTAACAGCAACAATAGCTCGTTCAACAAAGGTGGGAACACAAAGTA